AGCTAATTTTTCTCCTTATGTCTGTGAATTTCAGGATTTGACTTCGGTGAGGATGATCGACAGTGCTAGGAGTCATGTTGGGCTCTAACATCTTGAGGTTCAACCAGATTCTGTAAGACAATCTCATCTAGGAGTGAGTGAACCTATTTCTTGTCACAATAAATCTTGTGTGTCTGTTAACGAGTTGAAAAGCGAGAGTGAGAGGTTGGTGATGGTGTGGCATTATAGGTTAGGTCACCCAAGTTTTATGTACTTATCCAAACTTTTCCCAAGTTTATTCAGAAATAAAAGTGCTAGTTCTTTTCAGTGCGAAATTTGTCAATTTGCAAAACACTCTCGCATTTCATACCAATTCACCCATACAAAGCATCGAAACCTTTTTCTATGATCCACAGTGATGTTTGGGGTCCATCTCAAGTTCCAAATGTCACAGAAGCTCGGTGATTCATCTCTTTCATTGATGATCACACACGACTCACATGGATTTTTCTCATGAAAAATAAATCAGAAGTTCCTCAAATATTTAAGAATTTCAAAACAATGATTAAAAATCAATTTCAAACTTCTATTCAAATACTTAGAACTGACAATGGAAGAGAGTTTTTTTAACTCTAATCTTGGCTCATATCTATCAACTGAGGGAATCATACACCAAAGTTCCTGTGTAGATACCCCTCAGCAAAATGGGATAACCGAGAGAAAGAATAGACACCTTCTAGACATTGCCAGGTCTTTGTTGTTTTCATCCAATGTTCCAAAACGTTTTTGGGGTGAGGCTATACTTACAGCAGCATACCTAATCAATCAACTTCCATCCAAAGTACTAGATTTTTCCACTCCAAATCAAGTATTTTTACAACACTTTCCTCAAAGTCGGTTGATTTCCTCTCTTCCGCTAAAAATATTTGGGTGTACTGTGTTTGTGCATATCCATCAACAACATCGAACCAAGCTTGACTCTCGATCCACCAAATGTATCTTTATAGGGTACTCTCCCAACCAAAAGGGTTACAAATGCTTTTGTCCTAGCAACCAAAAGTTTGATCACACCATGGATGTTACATTTTTTGAAACCAAACCCTATTACCCCAAAACCGATATTCAGGGGGAGAGTTCTAGTCAAAGTCAACCACAAGAATATCAGCTTTTCTTGGATAGCATAGACTGCACACCAGAAACACCGGAAACACCTGAAACACCTTCTCCAAGTGTACAAATTGAATCTGAACCGAAACCAATTGATTCTGAATTTCCCGAGATAATTGTCTATCACAGAAAAAGGGGAGAACCGAAGGAATCAGAGACTAGCAAATTCACAGATACTGCCAACATCTGAACCTGAGGTAAAAATCCCTACATCTGACTTACAGACTGTGGAGGAAAATTCTGCAGGTACTAGTTTAAGTGATCATGATAATTCCGATGAGAACCTACCCATTGCACTCAGGAAAGGGGTRAGAGAATGCAGAAGTAGGCCATTGTACCCTATTGGCAACTATGTGAATTATGAGGGACTATCTTCCTCTTACCAAGCATTCACCAGCAAAATCAATTCTATCTCCATTCCTGGTTCAATCCAAGAAGCCATGGCTATCCCAAAATGAAAGATGGCAGTTAATGAAGAAGTTAATGCTCTAGCGAAGAATGGTACTTGGGAAATTACTGATTTGCCTCATGGAAAGAATGTGATTGGGTGCAAGTGGATCTTCACTGTAAAAACAAAGGCAGATGGTAGTATTGAGAGATACTAGGCTCGATTGGTAGCTAAGGGATTTACTCAATCCTATGGCATAGATTATGAGGAGACCTTTGCTCCAATTGCAAAACTCAACACTATTCGGATACTTCTCTCTCTTGCAGCAAATTTGGATTGGCCCCCCATCAACTAGATGTCAAGAATGCGTTCTTAAACGGGAATCTAGAAGAGGAGGTCTATATGGACATTCCCCAGGGACTACAGAACTAATCAAACATCAACAAAGTTTGTAGACTAAAGAAGTCACTTTATGGTCTCAAACAATCACCTCGAGCTTGGTTTGAGAGATTTACCAGAGTTATGAAGAGTAATGGGTATATACAGGGACAGTCTGATCATACAATGTTTGTCAAACATTCTTCAGAAGGACTGATTTCTGCGTTGATTGTCTATGTTGATGATATTGTTCTAACAAGGGATTATGCTGAGAAGTTTCCAAGAGTCAAAGAATTTCTGACTAGAGAGTTTGAGATCAAGGACCTAGGTAAACTCACATACTTCTTGGGAATGGGAGTGTTGGGATTCTTTGCTATAAATTAGGCTACAAATCAGGTGTAATTAGCTATATAATTGTTTCCTTATTTAGAATAGATTAGGCAAGATTTTCTCTTCTAAAATAGGGAACAAGTCCTAACGTTTAGGACTCCAACTATATATAAAAACATGTTCTGCTGGAATAGAAAAAAAAAAAAACAGGTCTTTCAAACCTAATTATTCACATCTACCATCCTTTGTTGTCGTGTATGCTGAAACTCTGTCACCACCTGCCACTCCCTAAGCAGATCATTGATAGAAACCCCTTGAAAAGCCCCACAAATCATAGGTTAATGAGCTACCCTTACTTTTCTAAGTTCAAACACTTCCTCCACAGGCTTGCACTTTTCTTCAAAAATCTTCGCATTTCTTTCACACCATAATCCCCATAGCACCACCCCACGAATGCATTGCCAAGCAATCTTTGTCTTTGTGTAGAGCCTCCAAAGACATCAGATTTGAATAGATCTACTGCACCTGGTGCCACCCAAGTTTTTCCAAACAGCGAGTGGAAAAGCTGCAACAAACTAGAAGCATAGGTACAATGTAACAGTAGATAGTATTTTCACCGCACTTCAAGCAAAGAACACACACATGACGAGACAAAGCCCAGTGTTTCCATTTCCTTTGGAGCCTTCCATGGGTGTTGATGATTTGGTTAACAGCCTCCCAAGAAAAAGCCATTACATTAGGGGAAATCGGGCTACATCATAGCTCCTTAACTGGGAAAGATTGAGCTTCTGTAAGGGGAAGTAAGGATTTAAAAAAGGAGGCACAAGTGAAACAACCATTTTTTAAGCCTTCACAAGACTTAGTAACCGTGGGCCCAAATGTCAGTCCAACTTTCATGACCTCAGAAGATATTCCAGCCCTAATGGACCCAATAGAAGACCCATTCATCTGTTCTAAACCTCTAGCACGTCACGTGACAATATAAAGTAACGTGTGAAACAGCTTGAACCGTCAGCCCAGTGAGAGATCCTTGATTCAAGACATGCTCTGCCTCATAGATGGGACTAAGATGCTTTGAATTCACATGAATTGAAACAAAAGACAGCCTAATAGAATCCCCTGCCAACACCTGTTCTTTGGGCCTGTCACTCTCCATGCTTGGACCTCTGACACCTTTCCCATTTTGTCTAAACTGAGCTTCCTCAATAAAATTTTCATTTTTCCAATTTATAAAGACCGAGTCCTTTCCACTTCCAACATCCTGCCCGGCAGCTTTTGGTCTTTCCAGCCTTTCCACCTAGTACCCTTTCAGACTTGAGTTACAACCTAATACATTTGAATTGGCCTCTCCCCTTCCGCCATGTAACATCTCCTCTTCTATCACTTCATCTTCTTCTTTCTGTCCTTCCACAGTTCTGCTTCAACAGAAGTTGCTAACCAGGCACTGTAGAACAAACCATCCAAAAGGATCTCCACCTTGGAATTTCTTCTGGTCTCACTCCAATAGGTCAAATCAACTCAGAAGAAAGCCTCCAAGCTGCCCCCACAAATCAATGGAATGGATTCAAAGGTTCCTTGCAGCCACAGGTGGAAAGGCAGTCCAGAAGCCGTAACAATGACCCCCTTCCGAAAATTAATCTCCTTCTTGTTGGAAAGAGGACACCACTTAGCTACCAAAAACATACCACTTACCAGAAGGAGCTTGAAGATTAAGTTATACAACCTCAATTTTGTCTTCTAACAAATCTAACAAGGCTTTGAGCCTATCAAAAGGAGTGATGATTAATGTACCACTAAATTTTAAACTTTTCACAATAATATTGGCAATCTCAATCCAATTTGAAACTTCAAAGCTTGCCACCACAACCAACTTAGATTCCCAATCTTTCTTACTCTGGGTTGTTACTTCAAGATCCAAAATCTTTGGGATCTCCTGTACTTTAAGATCCAAAAACTTCTCTTTGTAACTGCACCTTGTTTATCATCCGCACTGCTAAGTTCCAAAGAAAGGAGATACTCGTGGAGCAGGCAAGAAATCTTCCTCCAACCCCCACTTCTTCTACCTTCTGGGAAACATACAAAATGCTTTTTTTCTTTCCAAAAAGATCCAAACAAAACAATAAGCCTGCCTTTTGTATTGAACCTTCTTTGAGCCCAGAATCTTCTATCTCCTTCAACCACAGAGTTTCTTTACTCTACCTCCTTATTGGTGTTGCAAGCGCCTGCAATGAAATCTTGAAACCGACCAATATAGCTTTTCCTACCAGAAAAACTGTCAACCTCTTCCGTTCTTCTATCTTTTAAGCATTTGCCCCTTTTACACTAATTTCCTCAACAAAAAAAAAAAAAAAATTTACCTTCTACCTTCAGCGATCTTCTCCACCAAAACTCACGACCCATTTTCTTACAAAAATTAAAGTGGCAGAGACTAGTCACTAAAACTCTCACAATCATGGCAACTTCACCTATACTGGTTTTATGAATCAACATATATAATGAATTTGTACAACAAGATGCATAACAAGAGAGCAAGTAGTTTGGCTGATGCATTAAACAAGGGGTAAACAGAGCTCAATTGTTTTGAGCTAATTTACATGTAGAAAGTATGTAAATAACAAAGGAATTGTTAGGTGGGATGCTTGGCATATTTTAAATATTCATTTTATCTGTATATTTAATAAAAGCATGACAGTTACGATCAGAGAGAAAGACAGAGTATATAGTATCCTCATCAGAAAATCCAAAAAAGATTTCATACCACACCAGTCTTCATATATATGAATAAGATAATACCCAAATTAACAATGTAGAGAACACCAAAGAGAATCTGCAATGACATCAAAGGCAACACATTATGAGGTGGGTTATTTATGCAGAAAATAACAGAATCTAGAGAAATTTTTGCCTACCGAGATATTAAGAACCCTAATATTAAAAAAAAAACAGATTTCATTATTCAAATCAGGCAAAGCTTAACCATTTAAGCAACAAAAAAGAAAACTAGGATATATTGATAACATTTTGTTAATTTCATGATAACTGCATAATTTCTACCTTAAACAAGAAACTTGTAAGATTTGATGGCATTTAAATATTCCACAATTATGCCACCATAACACAATTCTTTTGCCAAGGGGAAAAGTAGGTAAATATTCTTTTTTGAATAGGTAAGTAAATATTGAAATAATTAATGTAAAAATAAGACTTTGTCAATCATTTCAATTGTTCATAGGTTCTATGTTCATCACAATATATCATGTCTTCAACATGAATATTAAAACCAAGGTTCAAAGAATCGATGCTCTCGATACACAATTTTTGTATCAAGAGTTTCAATCAAACGAAACACTTTCTTTTTTAATTTATTTGTTCCAACCTTTTGTCAGTGGAAACACCATGTCGCACACTATCAGTTAAAACAATTGATATCATTCAAAACTTATCTAGCATATCAGTCACCCTGAAACCAATACAATGCACCCCATATCAAGCATGTCATATGACACTTTGAACTTTAATTAAAACAGTTTTCTTTTTTTTTTTTGATTCACAAAAAATTTTGTTAAGGTAAAACCTTAAAATACAAAGGAACAGGCATCCGGAGGTTGAGATGACATGATTGCAGAATATATACATTAATGGGTACTACCATCCCCCCAAAATAGATTCCCTCTCTCTAAACCTTATTTGCCAACCCATCTGAGAGACCATTTGCAGATCTGTATACCCAGTGTGCTGCAGCCACTCTATTTCTTGTGTGAGTTCTTTTAATTCTTTCAGTAAGTTCTTGTACTGCCAAGGACACCTTGCTTCATCTTGATCCCAGACTACAACCACTTCTGAATCCCCTTCTAATTCTAATATGATGGTTGCATAATTCATCCTCTTTGCCAATTTCAGCCCCTGTAATACTGCTAATATTTAGACTCTGATTACATTTCCTTGGTCTTCTGTCCCAGAAAAGAGTGTTTAAGTGTCTACATTACTGTTCCTGAATACTCTTATTATAGAAGGGCCCGGATAATCCCTGCTGCAACAGTTAATGGATGCCAATTGCCTGAACTTTTTAAGAATTTTTTTACTTTTGTTTATTGGCTACCGAGTTTTTTTTTTTTTTTTTGACAAGAAACAGAAATTTCATTAAACCAAACACAGTAAGGGGTACAAATTCAACTCAAGCCACCAGCAAAGAGGCTTAAAACAAGCACAGAAAAAGAACAAGAAGAGATAGAAATGCAATTTCACAGATTATAAGCTGGTCCTGAGCAACCCCAATCTAATACATCTCTCCCAACCCCAGCTTTAGCCAAAAAAAATCAGCCACTGAATTAGAACTCCTAGGCACCTACTTTAGTTACCAAGTTTCCTTTTTCTCAGTTATTAAAAAATGGGCAAATTTCTTAAAGTACCCCTAAGTTTTAGGAAATGTACTAACTCTACCCCTACCCGTTTACATATTGTCTTAAAGTACCCTCAAGTTTTCTGACAATTGACTAAATCCTCCCTTGCTGTTAGCATCCGCTAGAGTACCATCACAATCCGTTCACATGTGACACCACATGATGTACAAAATTGACACCATGTGGTCAATTTTGCCCTCCATTATTCTTCAAATTTTCAAAATAAAACTCAACATCCATCTTCTTTTGTAACAGTGGAGGCCAGCGGGAGTGAAGTAGGAGAAAAAGGTTTCCTCTCTGTCTCTCCCTCCCTCCCTCCCTCCCTCCTCAATTCTCTGGAGATAGAGCTTGATTGGGTTTGAAATCTGGGAATTTATTTTTGGATATCTAAACTTAACTTAGAGAAATTGTTCCGGTTTCAATGTTGAGGAGGTAGTGATTTGGTCATTATTTTAGCGACACAACTACTAGGTTGGTTTGTAGAGGTGGGGGCAATGATGTAAGTTTCAGTTTGGATAACACATTGATCAATAATGTGTTAGCTTAACACTTGGAGAGAGAGAGAGAGAGAGAGAGAGAGAGGATCAAGTTTGAATCAAGAATGTCAATAGCTTCAAGGTCAACGACAGGCTGTGGCTGTCTAAAGACATAGTTCAGAGCTCCTCTCTCCAGTATTTTGTCTACCCAGTACCCACATAAACAAAAATCCACTATAACCCTAAACCCAAAATAACTATGACTGAGAACAAAGACCACCTGCTATACCTTGTAGAAATTCCTTGTAGTGGACAGGACTTTGCCAAAACTGAACTTGACCGATGTTTTGGCCATCAGAGATATGTTCCTCTTCAGGAAGAACACAGCCCAAAACCAGCTCCCAAAACATGTTTCTTCTATAAATTGCTAAAACAGAGGATCTCACAGAGCCCTGTTCGAATTGAAGGCTTTGCACAGCTGTTGATAGGGCCCAAAGGAGGCAATGCATCCTGACGGTGGCATGAGACAATTTTTCTACCAACCTACTATTACTCATCATGAGAGAGACAGAGCAGGTTTTTGCAAGTCCAAACTGTGCATCTTTTATGATCATGTACAGAGTTCCTATTAAAGTTAAAGTGTCTTTATTTGCACATTGTATTTGGTTTGGGCCTTGGGTATCAAAAGTAACTAAATCAGAGACCAACCAGATTTGATCTGGACTTGAGATTCACGAGGAGAAACTGCAACAATTTACTCCAAAATAAAAATTATCTTTTATTGAAATGTTTCATTTTGAAAATTTAAAGAAGAATGATGGATTAAATAGTCTTTTCCATCTTTCCGTTAATGGACGCTAACAGTGGGAGGATTTAGTCAATTGTCAGAAAATTTGAGAGTACTTTATGACAATTTCTAAACAGTAAGGGTGAATAAGTCAACTGGTACTTTAAGAAATTTTCCCTTAAAAATCCCTTTATTTTTTATCGGTTACTAAGTAGTACCTGTTACCAAGTCATTCACACCAAGATTGACAGAAAGAAATTTACTGAAGTTACAGGCAATTGACCTGTGCTGGGTAGACATCCCCCCCAGTAACGAACTGAATGGCAGAGTACACATAGAGAAAACCAGCTGGATAAACCAGAGGCCCTGTATCCCCCTTCAAGTTCTGGTAATCTCTTTCTCCTTCAAGAAACCCACTAACCTGTTAATGAAGTTTAAGCCGTCAGAATCAATCATTGATCATGTAATCCAAAACAAAAATGTAATTTTCTCTACTAAATTCATACCTGTGACAAATAAGCATCCCAATCTATCTTTGTATCTAAAATTAAATAAAACAAAACAAATTAAGAAAGGCTAATAAACAGAAGGATAAAATTAGATAGAAGAGAAGGATTAGTAAGCCCAACTTACATGGGACATAGGCAATGATAAGAGCTACAAGAAGGGCATCTACAAAGAGCAAAGAAAAAGCAAAAGCTACTTTTGAGATTTTATATCCATTACAAATGGATGCATTTAATCTGTAAGAGTCTGGTAGTGCTAATTTGACGTCCATTGTTATGCTGTTGTTGTTGAACTATCTCTCATTCCCTACATAAAAGAGGACAAGTCACATTATAAAAATTCATGCCATATGAATTATAACTACATATACAAAAGATATGCTAGACTAACGAGGCGCAAATATTGTCTATTGGCTAGAACTAACTGCTGCTTCTACTCAGTACTGCATGCATAAACCAACTATGTTGGATGTACGCCACCAAGTCAGTTCTCATGCATAAGCCAATAGCATGGAGAACATGCATATTTGGAATTGGAGTACAAAAAGAAATCCTGATACTAAATTATAATAATTGCAAGATTATATTTACATAATTTTTCAGAATTAGGGAACATTACTGTGATTACAAGCATGAGATAAGGTACAAGTTACATCTTTTTTAATTGGTAACAGAATTTTATTACTATTTAAGAAAAAAATATATATTTGCAAGGTTCCATTGACCCACAAAAAGCCCCAGATGACCTGTACACCAAAACCTTGTAAATACTGCCAATAAGACTTATTGGCCAAAAGTTCTTGATGTCAAAGTTTCTTTGCAACATAGGAATTAGAGAGATAAAAGTAGAATTTGCCACTGATGTAATGTTTGCATTGTTGTAAAAGTTCTGCATCAATTTCATGAAATCTTCTCTCCTAAAACCCCAATGTCTTATAAAAGGCTATGGGAAAGCTATCAGGCTCAGGTCTTTTTTTTACCAGCAACACAAAAGATTCAATAATTTAAAAAGTCATGTACAACAAGTTGTGGGCGGACAAGCAGTCCAAAGTGTCCCACTAAATACACCATTGCCACAAACAACCCTAGTGCCAATCCCTTTAGTTACAACACAGCCCAACAGAAACCTCTGCTAATTGTCTTTGAACTCCTTGTTTAGCTAGCCCATCAGCCATGCTATTAGCTGATCTTCTAATCCACCTTATTTGAATCACCATGTCTTTAGATGACCGTTTGAAGCACCTGAGCTCATTCCTTAGTTGCCAACTAATTCCTTCCCCTGTCTTCAACCAGTTCACCACAGTTTTTGAGTCCCCTTCAACAATCAGCCTCTCAATCCCCATTTCTTTAGCTTTCTCAACTCCAAGCACTGCAGCCTTCATTTCAGAAGTCACCACGTCACCATGCTGAATAGGACCTGAGAACATGGCAACCAAATTTTCATTCTCATCCCTAATCAGTCCACCAATGCCCACTGGCCCCGGATTTCCCAAACACCTGCCATCAAAATTTAGTTTCTTCCACCCAGCATCTAGAGGGGACTAGGAATCAATTACAATAGATTTTCGATGCAGTGTTTGCAATTGTTCCCCAAGATCTGAAAAAGTCTTCTATCTTAGAATCAGCAAACAATTTTAGTGTTTTCACCCGATGCGCCACCCTTAGAGTTATCACTTCAATCACAGTTTCATTACTCCTCTCTTTGTCATCAAATATCCTCAGATTTCTTTATCCCCAAATTGTCCAAGTGATTGCTGCCCTAGTGCATCTTCCCATGATTCTGCCTCTCCTTTTAGAACACCTGATTAATGAGAGCTTGAGAAGGATTCCAGATTAGGAGTCCAGCTGCAACCAAAAAAGAGGAAAACCACTCCCAAATGAAGTTATCAAAAGGATAGGAAATTAAAAGATGAAAGTCTCACCGTGCAGCTTACATAAGGAGCACCAATTTGGGGACAAGCACCAAGTTGGTCTTTTTATCTGAAGCAGATCACAGGTATTGAAGGAACCATGGAACACTTCCCAACAGAACGCACTAACTTTAGGAGGGATGGGGCGAGTCCAAATCTCCTTGACAGGCAAAGAAGGGGAGGAATCAAAAGCAACTAGAGAGTTAAAGAAGGATTTGCAAGAGAAAGACCCTAACTGATTGAGTGCCCGAACTCTAGAGTCTGAACCACTGTCCCCCAAGACCACAGAGGTCAGTACATTAACCAAAGCAGACACTAGACAATTCAAATTCTCTCAAATTTCTAACAAAACCCAGATTCCAATTTAAATTTGAAAGTGAGGAGGAAGAAAAAATAAAGTCACTAATGGGTTTTCCTTTGAAGCTGGAGAGAGCAAAATGGGAAGGGAACACCTCGGACAAGGGGGAATCCCCAATCCAAATGTCCTCCCAAAATCTGATTTTCTGACTCAAAATCAAATCATACCTGATGTAGGTAGAAAGAAATGAAGTATTTCATGGATGCCTTCCAAAGAGCAGTCAAAGTAGCTCTATGCAAGCAGCCCGCATCCCAGCATTGCTTGACGACCCATGGATACTTGAAATAACTTTAGCCCATAATTTCTCATTTTCTTTAGGGACTCCAAAGCCATTTACTTAACAGAACCACATTTTTCATCTTCACATTTCCTATTTCTAAACCCCCTTCCTCTTTCAACTATCTCACCTTTTCCCACCTAACCAAATGATCTTTTTCCCCTCCCCAGGCTCCCACAAGAAATCCCTCATGATCTTCTCAATTCTTTTAATCACAACTTGTGGCATCCTAAAGACCGATATGTAATAGACTAGAAGATTAGCCAAAGTGGATTTTATCAATGTTATTCTCCCTCCCAAGGAGATATAATTCCTTTTCCAACCTGCCAACCTTTTTTCAAACCTTTCCACTACTGGATTCCAAAAGCTAACCGATCTAGGATTTCCACCTAGGGCAGTCCCAAATATTGCAGATGCCATTCCCCTGTTTCACAACCCAACACATCAACCCAAACTCTTAAAGCATCCTCTTCCATATTGATACCAGCCACTAGACTCTTTGACCAATTGATTTTCAAGTTGGAAATCCTTTCAAAAAGGCTCACAACTAGCTTTAGATTTTCTACACCATCACGGCTCTCTCCATCACAGAAAACCAAAATATCATATGCAAACTAGAAGTGTGAGACCAAAACTTTGCTTCTCCCTACTGTCCAACCTTTAACCAAAAGCATCAAACTAGCCCTAGAGATTAACTTACTTAAAACCTCAGCCACCAAAATAAAGAGGAAAGGAGAGAGTGGATTTCCTTATCTCAATCCTCTAATCCCTTCAAAGAAATCAGGTATAGTACCATTGATTAGGACTGAAAAATGACTTGTTTGCAAACAACCTCTTATCCACTTGCACCACAGATCCCCAAATCCACACCTTCTCATGATATCAATCAAGAAATCCCCCTTCCTCTTTAGTCTTTTTTGAGCCTCCGCACATTCACTTGCAACTAGAATTTGATCGATGATTTGTCTATCTTGGACAAAGGCTCCTTGGTAAAGGGAAATGGTAGAAGAAAGAACCTTTTTAAGCCTTAGAGATAGCACCTTAGCAATTATCTTGTAGATACTAGTCACTAAGCTTATAGGTCTAAAGTCACCTGGTTGGGTGGCAACTTGCTTCTTTGGGATCAAAGATAAGAAGGTTGAATTCATCCCAAGGCTAATTACTCCCCTCCTAATGAACTCCCTGAACACTTTCATCAAACCAAATTTTAGTATATCCCATCAATCTTGATAGAAAGCCAATGTGAAACCATCAGGCCAAGGAGCATTAGATCTATCCATAAAGAATATGGCTTCTTTAACTTCAGCTTCCTCAAAGTTTCTTTCCAATGAATGTACTCGATTCTCATCCAAACACTCCCAATCCAATCCATCCAAGGTCCACCTCTCGGAAATTGGCCTACAAAAATTTGATCTAAAATGATCTGCAAAGGCTTTAGCTATTTCCTCTTGATTTGTGATCTCAACCCCTTCCACTATTAAAGAGGAAATATAGCTCTTCCTTTTCCTGCCATTTGCTAAAGCATGGAAAAATTTTGTGTTGCCATCACCCTCCTTAATCCATTTCTATCTTGACTTTTACTTCCAACCGATCTCCTCTCTCAACAAAAGATCCTCTAACTCCTTTAGAGACCATCTTCTTTCTCTTTCATACCCTTCTAAAACACCTTGCACTTCTTTCCAATCACGCTCCACAATTTGAGCAAACAAGCTATCCTTTTTCTCTTCCAATCTCCCAAACTCCACTCTTTAATCTCCCCTTTTAGCCTATGTAATTTCCTCAAAAACTTTTCTCCTTCCCAAATAGGTTGTGGACTTTGGGAAACCCACCACTCCTTAACCTTTTTCTTAAAGTTCGGGTGGGTGAACCACATGTCAAAAACTTTTGTCCTTCCCAAATAGGTTGTGGACTTTGGGAAACCACCACTCCTTAACCTTTTTCTTAAAGTCCAGGTGGGTGAGCCACATGTTCTCAAACCTAAAAGGAATGGAGCCCCCCTCACTAGACCTCTGAAACAAACTGATTGGCCAATGGATTGATGTGATTCTGGGTAGAGACTTCCCCCTGAGACCAACCCAATGTTGTTCGCAGTCAGGAGACAAAAGAAATCTATCCAGTTTGGAACAAATAGGATTAGCCTAGAGATTGGACCAAGTAAAGCAAGACTTCCCTAGTGGGATATCTCTTAACTCAAAGGCCCCAATAAAATTGTTAAATTTCCTCATACTTGAAGTGACCCCCTATCTTCCTCCACTTGACTCGCTCACAACTCAGGCCAGGTCTTTGTCCCCATCTATCTCTTATATTGCATGCAACACCTTTTCCTCATCAACACTTCCTTCTAACCAATCTCATGCATCCTGAAGAATGACTAATGAGATCAAAATTAATGCCTTCTAATCTAGGCCTTATTGTTGAATGAGATGAACACAGATTTTTGTAAAAATCGACAATTGCCTTGCTTACTCCTTTCCTTCATAGGAAACATCTCCTACCTTAATTCTTGTGATTATGTTGCCTCTTCTTCTTGCATTGGTAATTTTATGGAACCAAGCTGTGTTCTTAACGCCTTCTTCCAGCCACATCACTTGAGATTCTTCTCGCCATGAAATCTCCATACAACTCAAACAACAATACTCTTCCTTGACCTGTAATGACAGATTTCTCCCTTCATCAAATATGGAAGACTTTTACTCTTTTTGATCAATTTCTTCAATCTGTTTGAAGCCCCATTCCAAAAACTTCAATTTGTTCCAGAAATT